GGTACCGGGAACCGAACTCACGACCTTGCGCTTGCCAGGCAGGCGCTTTTGCCGCTGAGCTAAATCCCCAGCCCCTCATTAAATAAATTATAATAATTGTTTAGAAAATTAAATCTGGTCAGGTAGTCGCCTTGCTTACCACCTTTCAAAAGCTGTTTGTTTCATGGGGTTGAACTAAAATGTTCTTATCCCCACCTGGAGAACCGTAAGTAAAATCTGAGACCTGGGTACCTTCTTCGTGTCTTTGCGTCCCCTACTCTCCTTACTCTGCCTCTCTGAGACTCACTTTTAGCTCAGAGACTTTGCACAGGCCTGGGACACTCTTCTCCCAGCCTCTTAAAAGTCTTAGTAAATGTCACTCAAGGAAGCCATCCCTGAACTAAGGCAGGGACCCCATATATTTTACAGAAGCTGCATTGCTCAGTTATGGCACTTACCACTGTTGTTGGCTTAACACTCATCACCTCTCTCAGATTTGAATTTACCTGAGAACTGAGATTGTGTCCATCTTGTTAACTTGTTTTTCCAAGTTTTAAAAATTCTTTTCTTTTCTTTTATCGTGGCACTAGAGATTGAACCCAAGGCCTCGTCCATGCTAGGCTATTGCTGCACCACTGGGCTATGCCCCAGCCTCATCTTGTGCATGCCTAATGCTAATGCTAATCTCTAATGCTTGATGTAGAGCTTAGGCTGAAGTGGCCGCAGGATAAACACCCCTTGTGCACAGGACCGATCTCTCCCCATTTCACCTACTTATTCTGCTCCATTTCACACTTTTTTGACCGGTGTGTAGTGTGTGCTCAGCACTGACCTAGGCCCTGTGGAGGTGTGTAAGGTGTAATTAGCCCTTGTGACTGACTGAGCACTTTTCTTTTTACTCCTACTCCGGGAGGTTGTGAAACTGGGAAGGGGAGAGATACGATGTGCCAGAGAAATAAAGGGGTTTGTTATTGTTGTTGTTTGTGGAAAACTTGGGAGATACACATTTGTTTTTAAAAAAATCAAGATCCACATGTTTTCAATTTGGAATTTAGTCACTGAGATAATTTCTAAAATTTGTGTAGAAAGATGTTGTAACGTTCAGCTCTTCACAGCACCAGGTCAGTGCATACATGGAGACAAAGTAGTGCAGTAAACTTTTCAATAACCAGGATTAAATGAACTTTTCTCCTGTAGGAAAAACTTCCTTCTTCAGGAGATGGAAGAGATTAGTGTCTTATTTGCTCGAGGGCTTACTCTTGTTGACTATTTGTCTTAAGGTTGATGAGTAAGAGTTGTCTTCCCAAGGAGACCTCAGACATACACAACACTGCTCTCAAAGTTTGATCACGCAATTAAGGTGTCTTCTCCCGGATGCACAGGTGAGCTTGAAGAAGCAGGAGACGTGGAAGTGGGTTCATGGCGTGACTACTGTCTTCCAAAGGGCAAGAAGAAGACGAGGAGTGCAACTGTGGGGCTGAACCTTGGTAGTCAGAGGTACCAACATGTGAGGAGCATTTTTTGAGTCAACTTGCAAAGGCATCTGTTTTGGAAGCAGTAGTAGCCGAAGTCCTAATCCACACCAGACCCTCCTGTCCTTGAGGATGTCTTCTGGGGTAGCTCTGCTGTCCCAGTGTAGAGGGACTTTGCTCATGAAATTGGCATCTGAGTTTGGCTTTTTGGCACACATTCTCCCCAGCTGATGTAGATAAAACACAGTGCTTTATTTATTTATTTATTTATTTATTTGGTACCAGGAATTGAACTCAGGACCTTGCACTTGCCAGGCAGGCGCTTGTGCTGCTGAGCTGTATCCCCGGACCCCAATGCTTTAAATACTATAAACTTTTCTCTCTGCTACAACATGGAAGAAAGAAGAGTGAGGGACTGTTACAAGGGAGAAGGTTTCTACACCATGTTACTTACTGCAAATCACTGGAATCTAAGGTTTTGTGCACAGGTAAAATAAATGAAATCTGCTAAGAGGAGCCGCACATAGAGATGCTGGTGTGAGGGCCATGTTTTTGCTTAGAAACAGAGGCTGAGGTTTGGTTAAACCGTGTTTTCTCTGTACTGTGTTCCATGTTTGGCACCATGTGAATGATTTATTTTTTGCTTGAAAATGGTCTCGTTAAATAAGGAAATAAATCTCATATGTAAAAGCAAAGGAAGCCTATGTTGGTGTGATAGACCTTCTGATTGTGCTGACACACTTTCGGTGGAGAATGGCTGGTCAGGGTAGCTCTGAACGTGAGATGGTGGCACAACTCCACAGGGCAAGCTTGTGAGGAGAAGCGCTACTCCTCCTCTTCCTTACCTTTTAAAAATCCCTTTCTCAAATCCAGCACCTTTAACACCTAATTAGCACAAGGAAGCACACTAAACCATTAAGGTGCTTTTTATTTGTTTTGCTTTAATATTCATAGTTTCTTCTACGCCGGTTTTCTTTCTCTCTTTGCCTCTTTGTCTCTGTCTCTCTCCACCAGCTTTCAAAAACTAATTGATTTAGATTCATTAAAAGTCAGAGTCTTGTAGAGCATTTGAACCAAAATTAAAAACAGTTCAAAGCAAACTCAATAGAGATTTATAATTATTACTTGCGTAAATGATACTTTTAAGTGAGGAGAATTTTTATGCTCTTAAATTAACAAAGTGCCCAGGGATCTTTCATGAGCACAAAATTTTACACATATTTAGTGGCTTAAAATTTTCAAGAAATATGTTATGTCTATAAAAGAGACTACCCTTTGGTTGTGTTGAGGGACAGAGTGTGTGAAGTCAGTAGTAAGTATCATGGTAAGTTACGTAGGGAAGGGAAATTATGCTGCTGCCTTTGGCGTACCTTGAGCTCTCTGTGGCAACTTGTGAAGCAATGAGGGGAGAGTTTCATGTGGTCTGCTGACACTTGAAGGAGAATTTACAGTGATTCTTTAGAGGGGCGCCTGGTCAGAAGGCATTGCTCACTCTGTCACTTAATGGTCAGTATGGAGCTTGTTCACTGTCTGGTGATAAAGCATAGAGTTGGCACAGTATTTTCAGGTCTTGGCAATCTTCTGATTTCATCAGAGAAGAACCAAGTACCCAAGAATGCATCCTGCTCTGCTCCTCCTGTTGATTCAGCGAAGCGCACTCTGCCA